GAATTCCCATTTGAAACTTAACTGAGGTTAATTGGCCCCCACAACTACCACCAACAATCAAGCGCCATCGTTAATGAGGTGCCGAGAATGTATGGCACGTGAACAGAGAGCAGTGTTGCAGCAGTCGAACGAACAAATAATTTTGTCAGCAATCAGTCTCACGGCACGGGACACGTGTCCACTCAAGTGTTTTTCTTTACGGATCACATCTCGAGGACGCACATGTCGAAGCATCGGACGGATCTCAGATAGGAAAGTGACACAATTTGAGAAAATTTGCGATGACACACTATGGGAATGGTAATTTAGGCATCTCGCAGATTGCAAATACGAACCACATAAGATAGACAAGGCATAGAGACAGTGGTGTTGTTATCCAAGGGGAGGATTATTATTATCAGTGTGTGTGTGTGTGCGTGTCAGTGTGTGCTCACCTCCATTATGAGAGCCAAAGGGGCGTTTGGTTTTTGCACGATAGACGAGCCACTAGATGCACCTGTTAAACAAGAATAATCGTTTAGTATTATAGTTGACCTGGCATCATAGATATGAAAGATGCTAATATAATATATATATATATATATATAATATATAACATTTGTAACAAAATGGAAAAGTAACAACTATGCAGGGATGAAATGGTCGGTGGGGAACAAAGTATCATGAAACCAACGACCATCATCATCGTCATCATCATTTTCACCGCTGTTGCACACAGAACCAAACTTCGCTTATCGCTCTTATCCTCACAAACCATGGTGTACGAATGCTTAGGGTAGTGAGTTAGAGTTGTACTAGCTCCAGCATGCGAAATTGAGAGTGAACCATTACGGTTAGCAGGCACAGTGCACAATCTGTGGGTACAAAAAGCCAGGAATTGAAACGCCAGTTGCTTTCAACAACACGTCAATCCAGGGGAAACAGTTGAAGGACCGGTAGGAGCCTGTGCCTGCACTTACTCTTTCTGACGATCAGATAGAAATGGTCGAGAGCTTCAAGTACCTCGGAAGCTTAATCATAGCTGAAGATGGGGTTGGGGAAAGGATCAAATCACGAATAGCGAAAGTTAGAGCAACTTTCGCCAACCTGCGACACCTGTGGCGTATGTCATGACATCCGACTTCCCCTTAAGGGAAGAGTGTACATCATTGCGCTTCGTGGTGTTCTGCTTCACAGTTGCGAGACCTGGCTTCTTCGAGCGGAAGATGCTAACCGACTTTCCGTAGTCGACCACCGATGCCTTCGAAGCATTGCTCGTGTCTGGTGGGAACATCGGGTGAGCGATGACGAAATTCATCGTGTGTTGGTTACTGATAGCCGCTATCTAACGGAAGAAATCGTTCTGCACCGCCTCGGATGACTCGGTCGTGTTTTGTGTATGCTTGCTCATCTTCGTGCACTCTTTGCACGTGCTGGACAAGGTTGGAAGAAGCTTCGCGGCGATCAGACCATGGCATGGAGTAGAGGTATGAAGAACTTTGCCTCAGCATTGGCTTCGGTTTGTGTAGCTCGCCTTCCAGGCTGGGGCCCAAGGGATGAGGATTGCCGATGATTAGAGACGCTGAGAGATATGGCTTAGAGTAGATGTCAGTGGCGCGATTGCTGTGCAGTTTGTTTGGCGAAACCCTGTTGGAAATTAGGTACAGGAAACGTCCTCAGCGTCACCCGGCTTTGGGTGGCTTTTACACATCCAAGTGCTAACTGCAAGGTAACAGGAAGGTGGTATATGGTTGCCGGTGGCCCTCTGGTAGGGGGGGGGGGCAGCTCGTACGCCATTGACAGCTTCTAGCTGAACAGGGGTCCGTGTATCCCTGATGATTACGGAGTCATCGCCTTGGCTGTTGAGTCATGAAGGCGACTTCGTTCGCCAAGTTAGACACCGACTAGAAGGGAGTTGAACTCCCGGTTAACCCTCGACCTGATTTGACCCACCTGTTAAGCGGCTTACCGAGGTGTGTCCGCTGTTGCATTCAAACAGCTTCTTGGAGCCACAGGTGAGAGCTGAGCGCCTGATGAAGACCAAAGAATGAAGGATGCCCCAAAGGAGCAGACAGCCCTCCGAGTCAGAGGTGCTACTCCTACAGGGTACCCCATACACATGTATAGATAATAAGCAAGCTTTTCTATAAGATGCAACGCAGCTGTGACCGCTGATTTTGCTAGCTTCTAATTTTAAGGGATCGGAGATTGAAGAAATAGAATTGGACGTTTGAAAGCGCGACTTTGCGAGACATAACAATCAATACGGTTGGGACTGAGTACAGATAGGTCAATTAGTTGATCCCAATAGTTCCCCATAACCAAAGCCTTGGCTTCGTATCCCTTACTACAAAAGTTTACGGAGTGCGACAAACAGGTAAAATCTCTGATACTCGTTGTTTAGCTGTGAGATGGCATCACAATCAATATCTGATTGTTAGCAGATAAAATAGCAAAACTTGAAGCGCCGTGACTGGAAAGGTTGCATAAATAGCGATACAAGAAGGGGATCGAAGTCTTAACCAAATTAGTTGGAACTCAAGGTTGAAAAAATTAAGGTGCGAAAGTTCGAAAAAGACAACAGATTGGTGAATAGAGGGCAAACACCGGCTTTGCCTCTAAAAGCCTCAGTATGGTCGGGAGTGGATGTCTAGGGATACGGCTGGTCACCCTTTACTTATGCGTGAAATGCGTCTCAAATAGCCTGTGCTGAGGAAGCCCTACTCACTCACTGCCTTCTCGTGACGGAGGTGTTTTCTCACCAAACTGAGAGGACGAAAAGCCAATATCCGGGGCTATATAACCGGATCGGTAAACCATTGGTAGTTCACTTTGGGGGAGTTGGCTAAAACCCTGGTTTTACATTAAACAAGAGGTGTACGAAAAACCCACCCACATTTGCCTGGTTGTGACAGTGGTCACCGGCTCAATTGGGTATTGAGGAGCATTGGGCCCCTTGGATGTCTGACCGCGTCTGAAGGGCGTATGATCCCATGAATTGGATACCGGACCCCAATGAACTGCGGACTCTGAGCTTCGTCCCGCTGGCTTCGGGTTCGGGACTCCGAGGTTATTTCATTTCCTCGGTCAGGGTAACCGGGAAATAAAATACACAGACAAGCTATGAACACATTGTACAGTTTTTTTGTTATGGCACATTTGCCAGTTCTGTGCAATTTGTTAGTGAGGGCGTTGGTCACATAATTTGACCATTGTGAATGAGTACACGTATGCGGATGGGGGTGAACATCCATTTGATTTGAATCATTCACGTATGATGAGAGGAGAGAAAACCGTGGTGGGTAGGTTTACTTATGGCGGTGTGACTGAGACACAAGAAAACCTGATCTGTTATGAGAGTACACTTCCTCTCTGGGGG